CCAAAGACTTTATACAAGTTAATCAAGAATTGAGAACAAGTGAGATACATCTCCACATATCACTTAGGGTGATGAATCCTCTCTTGACCATTCATTCACCTTCGCATGCTTCATGGTATATCCCAAAACACTCTATTTAGGTATCTCATTGCCTCCTCACCCGTAGAGGTGAAATTAAAGTATGTCATTCCCCATACAAGATGACCTAGTCTTTCAAGTTTGAGGACTAGCTGTATGATTATCACATGAGAACATATTTTATAGATAATTGAGTGAAATACCAAATGGAGTTCTCATAGCGGGGCATGTCAAACGAACTTGTCTTTTAATAAGCACCTACATGTTATCCTCAAGTATCCCATATACTTCAATTTATGAGATCGATTGCTTACTTCTTAAGCAAGGAAGAGTAACATGTACCAGTCTTTGAGCATTGTCAATACCTTGTCTTGACAATACAATGACAAAAAATAATTTTAGGAACATGGCTTTGATGCATAGTGATCTCATAATTGTAACAACTTTACAATGCTCTTACAAGGCTTTTATGTTCCATGGGCTTCATCCAATTAGTACTTAATAACTCCTTATTATTACACTAACAGGATGGAAAAGCTCTTTTACATATAGTTATGCGGTTAAGTATGCATTAAATGATAATCTATATTCCTTGACTAATCGAATTGGCTCAAGGGTCTATACCAACATTTATATAGTACATCCCTTCAACAAATGTGAGAGTTGGTAATAAAAATCTTATGTTAAGCTGTAAAAGGTAATTTGTAATAATTTTTATGCATAATTTTATTGCAAATATTAGACTACAACACTTATTTTAACATAAGATTTTTTATGCTATAAAAAGTTCCAAATTGTTGCAAGATGCTAAAAATAGTAATGTTGTAAAAAGTATAATTTTTGCAAATATTTTGTATATATTGTTATTGCAAAAATAGCTTATTGCAACTAAAACTTATATATTATGTAAAAGATATATTTTTTGTAACATTATGAACCTTCGATGGTTGATATTGATTTGGACCAAGGTACTGATATTGACAAAAGGGATGCTGGACAAGTTTGGGATTTAAGCAGAAAACTAAGAATGGTATTTCAAAGAGAAAGGGAGGTAGTGGTGTGATTTTCTCGACCTTAGAAAAGGAAGAGGGCAAAAACGCAAGGATTGGAGTTTGATGGTGGTCGGTGGTTGTTGGTAAACATGTGTTGTTTTATAGTTTATGATTTTAATTTCATGGAATGTTAGGAGTTTAAGAAGACATGAGGAGAAAAAGGTAGTACGGAGGGTAGTTAGAAAGCAAAGCCCATATATGATTTTTATTCTGGAAACAAAGTTACAAGAAGAAAAGGATGGGATTTATAAGAGATTATGGGGGAATGACAAAATTTTTGGGAAGTCAATTAATGCAGTGGGTCAGTCAGGGGGTTTGATTTTGATACAGAAAAAGGATTTTTTGAGTTGTCGAAATACAAGAGAGTAGATACTATACCATGATAATTGGGAAAGGGAGAAAAAAGGACAAGGAATGTGGATTAATTAATGTTTACACTCCTAACGATGATCTGGCTAGAAGAAATTTATGGGATGAACTTATTATGATCATAAAGGAGAAAGAAGTGTTGTGGTGTCTTGGGGGGGACTTCAATATAGTTAAATTGGGCAATGAAAGAATTGGAAGGGTGAATGTGTCTGGATCGGTAGTAGCTTTTTAGGGAATTTATTGAGGAAATGGCCTTGGTTGACTTGCCTTTTATTGGGAAAAAATACACGTGGTGTGGCTTTTGATAGGGATGGGTTTTTAGTAGGTTGGATTGTTTCTTGATTAACATGGAGTGGTTGCAAAGTGAGCAAAAGCTAATTCAAAAGTGTCTGCTAAGCTCTTTATCAAACCATAACCCTGTGATTTTGAAGTCCAGTAGGAGAAATTGGGACCTTAAATCATTTAAACTATTTAATCATGGGTTGGATGTGAAATCTTTTTAGGTCATGGTGTCAGAATTTTAGGGAAAAAATAATGTTTTAGAACATAATAATGGAGACTTGTGAAGGAAATTAAAAGGGATGAAATTTGATATCAAAAAGTGGCACGAAAGGGTTTATAGGGTGTACTCAATAGAAAATTCAGTGCTTGGAGGATAAATTAAAAGAGTGGTATTCAATTTTCCAAAAAGCTAGAGATGATGAAGAAAGAAGAAAGGAGTTAGTGGTTAAAAAAGTTGAGTTATGGGAACTATATAGGGAGGAAGAAAGAAAAGGGGTACAAAAATCCAAAGCAAAGTAGGCTAATGACAGGGATCGAAATATGAAATATTTTCATGTCTTGGCTTCCATTAGATAAAAAATTAATCACATTGAAAGTATTAGAGTTATTAATGGGTTATTGAGGATATTGAGGGAATCAAAGAAGAGGTGGTGTGTCAGTTTGAGAGCTGTACAAAGAAAAAGAAGTTTTTGGCTAGATTAATTTCAAGGGATAGATTGAGAAACTCAAGGTTGAATCTATTTTATAGTTGGAAAGGCCTTTTGAAAAAAAGGAGATTTAGAGTACTATTCAAGGGTGTGATGGAAACAAGGCTCCAAGATCAAATAGGAATAGCCTAAACTTCTTCAAAAATCAATTGTTGGTTATAAAGGGGGATGTAATGCAATTCATGGGGAATTTTTTTCATGAATGGATGGCTTGGTCATGGAGTCAATGCCTTGTTTATTGCATTGATTCTAGCGGTCCCTAATCCCTCGAGGTTAAGTGAGTATCATCTTATTAGTTTGGTGGGTAGTCTATATAAGATAGTTGCAAAGGCTTTGGCAAATAGACTAAAGACGGTTGTTGGGGAGGTCATTGGGAGGAACCAATTTGCCTTTGTTAAGGGGAGGCGCTTTATGGATTACACTTTGAACACAAATGAGATGGTTGACTAGATGAAAAAAGATGCAATGGGAGGTGTTATGCTTAAGTTTGATTTTGAAAAAGCTTACAACAGCAAAAGTTGGAATTTTTGGAATTGATTATGTGAAAGATGGGCTTCAATGAAAAGACAGATCATATGGGTGAAAAAATGTATCTTGACTATTTCGATCTCAACTTTAGTGAACAGGTATCCTATAAGGCAATTTCGGATGGAAAAGGGATTGCATCCAAGATGCCTTTTATCTCCTTGCTTGTTCCATATAGTGGCTAAGGCTTTGAGTACAATGATTACAAAAGTTAAAGAGTTTAGGATTAGCAAAGGAGTGAACATTGGATTTAACGGATTTTCTATTTCGCATCTTCAATATGTAGACGATATCGTGTTGTTTTGTGATGCTGATCTAGATAACCTTTTGGTGCTTAAGAGGATTCTTAGAGTCTTTCATAGTATTTCGTGGCTCAAAATTAATTTCCATAAAAGTCGCTCTTATGGAATTTGAGTGGATCAATAAGTTTTGGAAGGTTAGGCCACGAAGATCAGATGTTAAGTAGGTATTTTGCTTCTACGTACTTAGGATTACATTCTGGGGTTAAACACAATTTCGTTAAGTTTTGGAAATTAGTGTTGGAGCAATTCGGGGCAAAACTTACGTGTTGGAAGACAAAGATGCTCTCGTTTGGAGGTAAAATTATTTTGATCAGGTAAGTCTTGGCGTGTCTCCGTATCTTTTATATGTCTCTATTTCAAAATCCTTAGTAGTGTTAAAAATGAATTGGAAAAAATTCAGAGGAGGTTCTTGTGGGAATGTATTGAGCAAAAAACAAGAGTCCACTACATCAAACGAGATACAGTACATAATTATAAGGAGAGTA